CTCTCTCTCTCTCTCTCTCTCTCTCTCTCTTTCGTACTCTTTTACCTAGCTCCCTCCGTTCCCTCCGATCTATTTTTTTCATTATCTCCGTCCGACTTTCACGTCCAGCGGATCGTGAAATTTCTCTCTCGCGTATTCTCTCTTGAAGCATCGAGTACGTTTCTGTGTGCCGCAGGTGCTTCTGTTTCCGGAGGAAGGCTGGGCGAGAAGCGCGAGCAGTTCCTACTGGACTTTGACGCCGTTCTGGTGGAGTCGAAGTCGATGCAAGGTAGTCGAAGTTGCTGGAACCAGGAGGTGAGTTGTGCGCTAGGACACCGAAGGTGACACCGTTGTTCGTTCGTTCGTTCGTTCGTTCGTCCGTGGAAGAAAGAAGATGCGAAACGACAAACACGTACGAAGCTTTCGCATGGAACCGTGGAAATTCGTGCTTTTAGATTACGTGGTTGGAATATCTATACCATACCGTGGTTACCAGCCAAATATTGCGCTTGAAAATTTCACTGTTTTCACTCGTCCCCTCTTTGCGAACTGTGTTCCCCTCGAGGTCACCAGGGCAAAGTGTTTTTCGACGATGTGCTTGCCCTACTTCCACCACGTTGCGTTCGTACACGAACGCGTGTGGTATTCGCCGTACAACGATTACAATCCGAGCAGTCGGCCGTTCTCGCTATTCTCGGTTCGATTAATTTTCGTTTGTTCGTTCGGTCGCTTTAATTGCTTCGTGCACGCGCAAACGCGAGGACGCGATGGCAAAAGGAACTCGAGACGTGGCTGGGTCAATGTAGTTGAGAAATAGTTGCGAGTACAAACACGACTCGATTGGTATTGGCCGATCGCTCGCCGAAGAACGGACAATTACTTCCGAAACTCGTCGACTCGGCGGCCAATTAATCGAGAAACTGATTCTCAGACACCATAGAATCTGTCGATCTGCGTGGCAGTAACTTTCCGCTTACCGTGTCAGCGGCGTGTAAATTTCGCAGCTATTTTAGCAACTTTTTATCGGTTGGATGAGCGTCCGATTGAAAACTATTCGAAACGTTCAAAACGCAAAGCCAAAACTTTCAAGCAGGAAAGTGTCACGTTTGTTCACGGTCGCTCGCGCTCGATTCGTTCGTGAAGTTTCTCGAGCTCGGGGAGGAATGTTGCGCAAAGCAGACAAATTTTCCGAAATATTCATCGTCCAGCAATTTTGGTCCGGTTGCCGGCGGCGTGGCGAGCAGACAGACCGCGTCGAGTCATGGCAAACAAACCGACCCGGTTTGGCGGTCAGTGAATCCTCCGGTTCCAGCGAATTCTCTTCCAACTTTCGTACGGGCTGGCAAATACGGCGCTGTTTGCCATTTCGGGACCGCGTTCGCACGCGACACCGGTCAAAGGCTCGCGATTAGCCTGCCTCCTCTGGTGAGCAGCAGCTGTACGACTGGTGAACTGTACAACAACGTTCCGATTAGAACGCACAAAGTGTGCGCGTGTAGAAAGAGGTTCTCGATCGAAACTCGCTTAGGCACGAGCCCGTAACTTCGATTCGTGTTGTTTCATCGAGCAGCTAGCTGACGAGGCTCGTCACGAAGAGATATTCGCGTCGCGAGACACGAATGAGGAAGCGCCGCTGCGGGCAATCGATGCGAGCCGGTTGACGGGCAGCTCGTAGCATCGAAAGGGTGCTCCGGCTGGGAACTTTCCTTTGTGAAGCGAATCGAGAACCGGAGGAAAAGTCAAAGCACCAGCTACGGTGGATTTTAAAACCGAGTGTTGGATCCGCCGCACTTCAATGGAGAGCGTTTAAACTTTTAATGATCGTCGCCGGGCTGAAGCTTCCGCTTGCCGGAATAAGCCCCTCGAGTCACCAGCGAGGGCTGCTGCCCTCGCTCTCTTCTTTTCTCTCCTTTTCTCCTCTTTCTCCTCCTTCCTTTCTCTCCCTTCGAGCTCTGTCTCTTCCCCCTCCCCTTCACACTCTTCGACCCTGCTTCCCAAAACGGTCCAACCCCTTCGCTCTTTTTTTTCTCTCTCTTTTCGAGCCCCTCCTCCCTTTTTTCCCCTCAACCTTTCTTTCCTTATTAATTATTCTTGGCTCGTTTCGCGCGTACAACTCCACGCGCAAGTAGCGGCACGGCTTCACTCCCGATTTCACTCGCGATTTCCCTCCCTTTTTTAAGGTTCTCCGATCTTCGTTGCGCGTATTTCGACACATGCTTCCCTCTCTGGCATGATATTACTGTCTCGACGAGAATCAACCCCCTCCAAACGTATCCAAACACGTTCTCGTTAATTTTCCGAGATGAATTTCGACATTAACGAGCAATAAATAAATTGCATCTCTGCAACTAGTTTCCTTGGCAATCGCACCTCCAAGTGATTTTGCACGAATGATTTTGTACCGTTCATGAATTTTTATTTAGAAACAATGAATGCAAGTACCTGCGATCTCGAAACATTTATTCGAGTTATTTATTCCGATTTTCGAAACTTGTATATTTTTTTCTTTCTTTTTTTCTTCCCAAAACATGTCAGGCAACTGTTTGCTGCTGACACACTTCGCTTCAATCGAAATATCATCAACTAATTGTGAATCAACTAATTGTTACCAGCGAAATTTAACGAGTCGCAAGACACAAATTACTGGAATTACTTAACAGTCACTAAGAAAAGAGCCCATGAATTGTTCCTTCAGCAGACGCTGCCTTTCAAACATCGTTGAACGTTACAGAATTACCGTGACAACGTCCCGATCCTTGTTCTCACTTTCCGTGCTCGATAATCGATTTCCTCGGACCTTAGGCTCTTAGGTCGAGCAGAGTGAAGTTACTCAGTTCAGGCTGTTGTGCATTTATCGCTCGGAGCGTGGAACGTTGTAACGACCGTATGAAAGCACGAGGTGGAGAGAGAGACACACCGACGGTAATCGTATTACTGATTTACGAAAGCGATAAAGCGCTTACACGGAAAAC